CACCTTAGTGACGGTATTGTGGGGTGGACCAACTGGTGAAAGTTGGACTTGGGAACGTGAGGATCAGATGAAAGAGTCTTATCCAATCTTATTTTCGTTAAGTAATTTTCGAGGGCAAAAATTATTTCAAGTGGGAGAGAGTTGTAACACCCCAAATTAATTAAGTTATTTATTTAAATTCTTAATTTGTTATGATGAGTAATTGTGATGATCTTTGTTGTTTTGATGATTATGATGGTTATGTGATGTTCATGTGTTATAGGGATTATTGGGAATTAAGAAGATTTTGGATAATTTAGAATAATTGGTTAGAATTATTTTAATTAGTAAAATAGAGTAATATTAGTATTAAGAGGTGATAAGGGAAGAGTAGTCATTTGCGAAGAATAAGTAAGGACAATAGTGGAATACCATATTAGGAGTCTAAGGGGTAAGTTTGATATAAGAAAGGTGTGGGAGTTTTGAACGATCATTCTGAGCAACCGTAAGATTTGGAGGAAATGGTGAAAAGAAGAGAGAGCTAGGGCAAGAGGATTTGTGATAGAACACCAAGAGGAATATATTTGCTGCTAAAATTAAAGGTAATGCATGTTTATCATTGCTATTATCATTGATCTAAGATTTAGATAATTGTAGGTTGTATTGGGTTTTTGTTTGAATTCAATATCATGATGATTTTGATTAAATTCGTGATAAATTGATGTTATAATAACGAGTAATGATGTATATGATGTTTACTATAATGTACTCTTGTGATATTGTGAAACCATGATGATTTAGATGAGTTTTGGGTCTGTATTGATGTGAAATCGTGCAAAAATCGGACTGGTGTAGTGCAGAGATTGCATAAGGGAATCACAGATTGGTGTGTGTCAATGGGAGATAAGAGGCGTCGTCGGGAGATGATGATTTCGCTTGGTCGTTGCCAGACGAGATTGGAAGCGAAGGAATGGGCAGAAAAGTGGAGCTATTGGAGTGTGTCGTTCGCGTCATCATGTGGCGATGGAAGAGTGAGAGGTGTGTCTCCAGGAGAGCAAGATCCATCACCGGGTGATGGAGGCCAGAGAAGAATTGATGGGTTGTCGCTCCTACGTCGTCGGGCGAAGCTTTAAGCGGTGAACAACAGTAGGAGTTTCAAAGTGCCATAACTTGAGTTTTATAACTCAGTTTGAGGTGTCGTTCGAAGCATTGAATAGATAACGCGATGAAATATAATTAGGTGGAATAAAACAAGTAATAGGATGTATATTTTCAATACCTATATTATGATGAAGTTAGGTTTCCCTGTGTTGGGTTACATTAATGTGTGTGTTATATGGTGAGTTGTTGATACTGTGATTATATTATGTTGTTGTTATGATAATATGATGATGTTATGATGATGCTTTATATATTATGATGTATGTGATGAATTCATGGATGATGATGTATTTGGAGTATCAGTGGTTGTGTTTATTATGTTGTTGCGCATCATGCATTCATGACATGGTTTAGGACTTTGATCCAGTGATGTTGTTAGGACTCTGGTCTAGTGATGTTAGGACTCCGATTTAGTGATGATGATAGGAAGTTAGTCACGTGAAAACATCAATCCCATGGTGTATATTGAGTGAAATATTATGAAGTGCTCTGAATCCAAGTGGGAATCGATCCTATTGGTGGGGATCTTTGGAGAAAATGATGACTGAGTCATCAGTAAAGTTTTGGTACCACATGCATGAGTCTATGAAGTTGCATTACATTATATGTGATATTGCATAATGATTTGATTAAGTGATGTTAATCATAAGTGTTGTTGTGTATTGATGATGTTGTGAAAGTGTGAGTATAACATGAGATTATGATGTGGTGTGATGTCTTACCTATGTGCATATCTACTATATTTATTCCTTATGTCTTTTATAATGATTATGATTACTCTCCCCTTTTTATTAGAAATATTTCCTCTATCTGTGGTAACTTGCAGGTGATCAGGAATAGTCTGTTGAAGCTTAGAGGATAGCTTCAGAGTGCGTTTATTTACTTTCTATTAAATAAAAGGGTTTTGCTATGATATGTAACATCGAGGTTTTGGGATCGATTGATTTGAGCTATATGTTCTTTATGTTATATTATTTGAGAATGTTCATTTTGTTTTAAGATGTTTTGGAGTATAAACTCATGAACCATGTTGACAAATGGTATTTGATTGTGAAGTACTAATAAAGATATTTTGAAATATTATTTCTACTGTAATGTGTTGAGTTAACGATGATATTCTTAAAGGAATATGTGTTTAAAATCATGAAAACCCGTGTTACGGAGCATGATGTTTTATTATGATGTTTTATATAAAGATGTGACACTCATGAATTGTGAATTACTCTTATCTATTTGTTATTTATTCGTGGGCTTTAGAAGGGTGTTACAATTCTCACCAGACACAACCTATTTTGGGGTAGGGTGATCATTTACATGGATGACATTGGTTGTGTTTTATGTCAGGGTGCAACTAAGTCTTCTAATCACCTTTTTGTCTTGTCACATTGCGTCTTTTGTTCACTACTAAAAAAATTATTTTTATGATAACGATTTCACCTCACATATCAAAAAACCGAGGTATAATCCCTGAACTTGCCATATTTTTTCTTAAAAAAATATAAAATTTATTCCGTCGATTTTTTATGAAAATCGATGAGTAAACTAGTTCAGTGTACATGCTTCGAATCCCATCTACTTCAGATTATGTTTTTATTTCATAAAAAGTGGCGCATTCATAAATATTTTATTTTTAATATTAAATTTATTTCGTCGGATTTTTATGAAAATCGAGGGGTAAACTAGTTAAGTGTACATGCTTCGATTTCCAGCAACTAGAGATTATATTTTTATTTCATTAAAAGCGGCGTCTTTTCGCATATTTATTTTTAATCTAAAAATACACTATTGTTCACCTCAGTTTTGTTTTCCAACCAAAGTGAATTTGTACCATTCAGTTTCACTTTAAGAAACATAAACACAACCCTAATGAAGAGCCTTTAACAAGAGATCCATAAACACATATTATCTTAAATACGAAGATGATATGTGTTTAGGGCTCTCGTTTCTTCTTCAGAGATCCAAATCATTTTCTTTCACTTCTTCTTCAGAGATCTAGTACTTCAAACATCACTACTCATATTGTTGTTGTTGAGATTCGAAATCCTATATATTTTATATTGTTGTTGTTGTTTAAACAAATTTAAGTCATAGGTTTTATCTTGTTGTTGATGTTGTTGTTGTTTAAATAAATTTATGTTATAGGTTTTATCTTGTTATTGATGTTGTTTTTGTTGTTGAGACTCGTTGTTGAGACCCTAAAGGTTTTATGTTGTTGTTGTTGAGAATTGTTGTTGTTGTTGATGGTACTGTTGTTGTTGTTGTTTAGTTGTTCTATTAGTCAAACTTATGAAAATCTATATGATGTAGTTTAGTTGTTGTTATTTAGTTTGAGTTTTAGATTGTTATTGATATTGAGTTTATGTTTTTTGTAATTTTTTGTGCATCTCTCATCTTGTTCCGTCGAGTTGAATTTATTATATCTAATATTGATTGTTTGTTTCACTAACCCCTCTTTGAATATATAACATATTAAATTAATTTTGGTAATAATCATATGAAAATTTATGTTGTATTAGTAACATGTCTTACACTGGTTAATGATTTTTTAGTATTCTGCAACTCATTATTTATCTCATGCTCTTTTATGGTTAAAATATCTCCAATACATCTAGTTTTTGTTCAACTTTCTTCCAAACTTGTTCATTTTTCAAAGCATCAAATTTTATGCTTTCAAGAATGAATTAGTAGAAAAAAAGTGTTGAATAAAGAACTTAAAATATTGAAGAGATTTTAACCATGAAAGAACGTGAGATGAATGATAAGTTACATGATGCTTCAAAATTATTGATTAGTGTAAGTTGTTCTTCAAATATAACAAAATTGTTCATATAATTATTTTTTAACAAATTTTGAGACGTTATATGTTCAGTTAGGGTTTTGTGAAATAAGCAATCCACATTAGATTTAATAAACTCAATTGTATTTTACCCATCGATGTTATATCTAAATTGAGGTGAAAAATGTTATGTCTGTCGATTGAAAGTCAAAACTGAGGGAAAAATGTTTTCTCCATTTCATAATTCCAAAAAGATTTTTATGGGGATCGAACTCATGACCTTTACACATTATCCGTTGGTTGTTTTAAAACTGAGGTTAAACCTCAAGACTTTTTATGACGTCTTTCGTTATCTCACATGAAAAGCCGAGATAAAACCTCTTTTTCAATCGAAGTAAAAAGTATTTCTCATTTGAGTGATTCGATATAGTGTCTTTAAGTGACTTCATTGGAAGTTGGTTTTACTTAGGCATTTAAATTCGATCTTAGAAATAGTGAGGTCTCTCGAGCCTATACCTAAAATTGGGTTGGATTGGTATGGAATCATATGTGCTATGGTCCATTTGAAAATCCTGAAATGAATTCATTTTTTTAAGATATAAAGTAATTCTTTTGATCTTGGAAGTGGTTTCTGGCTTGGAGGGAAAAATCTTGATTTTTTTTTTTCATTCAAGATACCCAAAAAGTAATAAATTACCCAAACTCGAATTGAATCTGTCGAAGTGATGGTTTATTACAGTGCATTCTCTCCCCCAATAAGCCAACCTCCATTATATAAATACTACTATAAAGTACAATATCTCTACAAGCAGTATCAATGTTTTTTTACTCAACATTAGTATCATCCATTAGAATATTACTAGTTATAAAGCCAAAGAGAATAAAGGGAAATAATAAACAAAAATAAAATAGTAATAGTAGTAACCGTAGTTATACCATTACATACAAAGAAGCAAGGAACAAATATGCTCTCACATGCTTCATTCTTTAAGAAGAAAAACATACACACCCACTTGGTAGCTTATAAAATGAACAATTGCATGAGAAATTCTCTTCATTAACAACAATTCATACATCATCTTCAATGGAGTTACTTCTTTTCCTCTTTTTAGCTTCTCTTCTTATCTGCAATACAATAATTGCTGATCAAAATACTAAGGTTCATATTTATTACACTTTCTTTCTATTTTTTCTTTATTATTTTATTTTGGTATTATCATAATTGAGTGATCAAATTATTGTTTCTCTTATATATAGCCTTATGTTGTTTATATGGGAAATCCAATTTCATCACCAAACAACATTGATGTAGATGAAGAAATACCTGAATCATTTCATCTTCAGTTACTATCATCAATCATTCCAAGGTTACTTATAATTTATAACATTAATTTATTTTTATCGTTCGATATTTCGATTAATCGAAGTTATCGAATGGAATTTTTTATTAATTTTTTTTTAAATTTTCTCAGTGAAGAAAGTGAGAGGATAAAACTTATCCACCATTACAGTCATGCTTTTAGTGGATTTTGTGCCATGCTTACTGAGAATGAAGCTTCTGCATTGTCTGGTAGTTCATCTTCTCTTAAGTTTTAAGGTAGTTATAGTTAATGTGAAATATTTTTAATAATACAAAGAATAGAATCAATAAATTAAGAATGTAAATTATTATTATTTTTGATAAATGATATAAATTAAAAATAAATAAACAGGCTGTAATATAAAATAATTTGTCTGGTTTTGAGGTAACTATTAGTTTGTGATTGGTAAACAGGACACGATGGTGTGGTGTCGTTGTTCCCAGATCCAATTTTAGAATTGCATACAACAAGATCTTGGGATTTTTTAGATTCAGATTTGGGAATGAAACCTCCTGTGATTACTCCCAAACATTCATCAAATGATATAATCATTGCTCTCATTGACACAGGTAAGTCCAAAAAAAAATTCTAAACTAATGCTCTCATTGACACATCATAGATTAATGAGTGATTTAATTGATTAATTGATTAATTCATATAGATTAAGAAAATTATATTAATGAAAGGCCTCTAATATTCACTATTATAGCGAAGGACTCACTTCTTTTTCATTCAATAAAAATAAATGTTAGAGAGAATGATGAAAATACAATATTCCTAACACTCTTTTTAATAAAATACACTTATATTGTATTGATGTGTTGATGAGATTGAATAAAAAATTATGTGACTTTTAGGTATAATTACAATGGATCCTTTAATTTATATTTGTCTAATAGATTGGTCCTTAAGTTTTTCTTTTAACAATTTAGTTCTTTTAAGTTAATAAACATGTGTACAGTTATCTTTTTTTAAATCTTTGATTAAATTAATCACCTAAAATATATAAAGTAGTATTTTAAATATATAAAATAGCATCTAAAATATATAAAGTATGATCTTAATTTATTTGTTAATTCAAAGGACTAAATTATTACAAATAAACTTAAAGAATTAACTTATTACAAATAATAATAATAATAATAATAATAATGATAATTTAAAAGATCTCTATAATTTTACCAACTTTTATTAATCAGATTGTACAATTGAAAATGGTACAAATTATATTGATGTTAAATTGAGGGCATTACTTTTTTCACTCTTAGAGATGTGAGAATACCCCTTAAATACGGAAACATATTTCCAGACACACCAAAATCTTAAAAAATATATAGAACTGGAATTTTATAAATTGTTGTATTTCATAATCCAGAAACAATTGCAGAACTAGATGCAGAAAACTAACATAATAAACATCGATCATTGTTATGAGATATATATTAAAAACGTAATATTCTGGACTGGCCCATTGACTAGGATTTACCCAATCCTCTTAACCCCTGATATGGTCCAATAATAGTGGCCCAACATCCTAGTCAACCACGTCTCTGGGAGTGCGACCTGCGATGTCTGACACGCGCGTCTAACCCAGTCAGCGGTTATCTCCCCGTCACCCCGACATGAGTCGAGCAGATAATCAGGAAACGACCAGAACGTCTCTCTGTCTGTAATCTGCCTCCTCCTCGGATCCAACAGCTAGTTACGGGCACGCTGCCCGTTTTGACCGAATCCTGGCAATTACCTATTTTTACGGACCCGCATATCTAGGCCCAAAAATAGGAACCAATGGTCAAGCGTCGGAGGCCTTATATAAGCCCTCACACGTGTGAGGGCCAGGTATCCAATATTCAAACCTTAAACCATAATATTCTTCTTGTATCTCTTTGCATCCATTCTTACTTGATCGTCGGAGTGACTTGTAGGTACAACCCCCCTTTCTCCTCAACTTTCCAGTGAGCCAGATATCACCCTTCGGCCTATTTGTTGGTTCTGATCATCCGGTAAGACTAGTGGCGCCGTCTATGCAAATCTATCTTCCTCGTTTTCTTTTCTCGGAATCTGGAGACCAAAGATACTCTTAATTCTTCAATCATGGCTGATCAAGATGATCGTCACCTCTCTGGAAAGACTGTGCTCTCCCCGGTCCATAAGATCGACGGAAGCCAGGAACATCCTCACCTCGAGGAAGATTTTGACGCCACGGACGGGCACACTGCGTCCCTAGATTCAATCGATGCCCAACGCGACGACCATCAGTTCTTGGACGAGTAACATCCCAAGGACCCTACCGAAGAATTGTCAGATATCCTGCCGCCAATTCCTGTTCCTCGGAACACCGACCCGGCCATAGCAGCATTGCTCGCTGCCCTGAACTAGACCAACGCCTTTATCCTACAACAGAACAAGAGGATAAAGGCCTGGGAGAAGAAACAGTCGAAGTCCCCTCCTCGGAGGCACCAACGACACGACTCCTCCAACGTATCATCGTCAAGGTGTGTCCGTCCACTAAGAAAGGAAAAGCACGACATTTTTTTCCTCAAGAAACGCAATCGCACACCTCCCAAGAAAGATCAAGGCTCTTCATCTTCCAAGAAGACAAAGAGCGACCGTCGGGTCGACCGTGGCCGATCACCGTTGCCGAGATCAAGGCAGCAACAGAGAAGCCCCTCTCCTCGACGAGACAATGATGCCCGGCAGGGAAGGAACCATCAATCCCCACATTTATCCCCCCGAAGAAAGCGACAATGATGAGCCCCATAGCCCACTATCAAGAGAGATTACAAATACCCAGCTCCTGGTCGGCCTGGAGAAGTCACCCCCGTTGGGAACATATGACGGTACGACTGACCCTGACGAACACATAGAAAATATTGACGCCCTCCTCGACTACCAAGGAGTAAGGGGCACCATCAAGTGTAGACTGTTCCCGACTACCCTGAGGAAAGGTGCCATATCTTGGTACAAAAGCCTCCCAGACGAGTCCATTACCTCCTGGAAGCAGCTGGGAAAGATATTCTCTAGACATTTCACTGCCTCTCGCCGACATCCTAAGTCGGAAGCATCGCTAGAAGATATCATCCAAGGAAAAGAAGAGTCTCTTTGAGCTTACATGAGTGCTTCAACAAAGAAGTCGTGCAGGTCTCGATGACCAATGCCATGAAAAAATATCTCCTCGAGCGCGAACTCCGTCCCTGCAGTGACTTTTCCAAAGCTGTGGGCATCGAGACTCCGGCCACGCTCGACTCCCTCCTACTTAAATCCCAAGCATACATTTAGTACAAGGAGAAGAAGGTGACCAACAATGCGAGGGACTCGCGGCATAGAGAGAGCGCCAAGTCCTCGAAATGTGAAGAGCCATCGGCATCTCATCCGGGAGGAGAGAAGAAGCGGGAAGAAAAGTCTTGAGACTCCAAAGATTACAAGGGGCCAGCCGGTCGTTTTCACGACTACACCCCCCTCAAGACTTCTCGAGAGTGCATCCTGACAGAATGCGCTAATTCAGAATTCAAGCAAGTTGGGGTGCACTTTCCTCGCCATACATCCTCCAAGCCCGAGACAAATAAGAGCAAGTATTGCAGGTTCCACAAGAGCCACGGGCACAACACTGACGACTGCATCTACCTCAAAGATGCAATTGAGATACTCATCGGGGACGGGCATCTCAAGCAATATAAGAAGAAGGATGGAGCCCACGTGGAGGCTCAAGAAACCAAGAATGTCGAAGAATGGAAGGAGTCCCTGGACGTCAGCACCATTCTGGTCGTAATGAGCATCACAAGATCAGAAGATTTCTATTTTCCCTACATGGAAGAAGTCCCACTGTACTTTTCCTCACACGATCCTTGGGAATCTTTCCCCGCATCGATGGTCATCTCAGGGGGGATTCAACAAGTGAACGGTATATTCTGTAAAGAGAAGGTTTGACCAGTTGATAGAAGCCAGCTCTGACATGGACGCAACCCTCGAAAAATTTAGAGAAGGCTCATATCCCCTCGCTTTCTACCGCGAAGAACTATCGGGAAGGGCCCCCAACTCAAGAATCCCACTCCTTGTGCGGGCATGCATGGAAAACTTTGACGTGAGATGCATCTTGGTGGACCAAGGAAGCTTGGTGGACATCATGTACACCCAACTATTCAACACTCTACAGTTGAATGAAACTCATCTGACCTCATACGTAGGCTCGGATCTCTAGGGATTCAATGGACCTGTCACCAAACCTCGGGGATACGTCGAGCTGATTGTCACCTTCGGCAGAGGGGTAACGGTAAACCCCATCGGGACCCAATTTCTAGTGGTGGACTGCCCTACACTCTACCAATGCATCTTCAGAAGGCCCACTCTGCCAAGCTGATTGTAGTGCCCTCCACCGTGCATCTCAAGATGAAGTACTACACTGCTAAAGGCTTGGTCGCCACCCTCCACGGGGATATCCAAGCTACGAGAAGGTGTTTTGAAGCATCAACCAAGGGCCTGACATCAATGCTTAACCCCAAACGGCTGGCGGATCCGCTCTGCCCTTCAGCTTCGAGGAACCCAGATCACTACTGTCAGTCGACACCATCGACCTATACAACCGCTTCTCCAAAGAAGACCTCACAGAGCAGAAGAGAAAGGGGAAAGAGCCCATGGTCGACGGAGAGAGCTCGTTCCCAACAGTAGATAACGAGGAGCCTTCGCATCCCATGCAACCAATCCCAGACGGGGATTTAGAGATCGTCCCCCTCGGAAGCGATCCCTCCAGAGGAGTGAAGATTGATGTCGGCCTCCCCGACCTGCCGAGGATACAATTGAAAGCATGTCTGAAGAAGAATGTTGATCTATTCGCTTGGAGTGCAACTGAAATGCCCAGACTGGATCTAGAAGTAGCTTGTCATCATATGACAGTAGACCCTGCCCTTAAGGCAGTTTCCAAGCGTAGGCAAAAGCAGTCACCGGAAAAAATGAAGGCTGCCGAGCAAGCTGTAAAAGACCTCTTAAAGGAAAATTTATTTCTGAAGCCCAGTACACAACCTGGATCTCAAATGTAGTCCTCGTGAAAAATCTAATGGAAAGTGACATATGTGTATTTATTATACCGATCTCAACCAGGCTTGCCCGAGAGATGCGTATCCTCTTCCCAACATCAACAAACTGGTCGATAATTCTGCGGGTTTAAAATTATTGTCTTTCATGGACGCATATTCTAGATACAACCATATTCTCATGGAAAAAATGGACAAAAAATATACAACATCCATCATGAAACATGATTTGTACCAGAGGTAAGGTACAACGTAGATAGATAAAGTATCCCTAGCAATTATCAACGCTGCGAGGAGATTAAGATACTACTTCCTAGAACACACCATTGTGATCCGTACCACCTAACCAGTAAGGCAACTACTTGGTCGACCAGATATGGCAGGCATGATGCTCAAATAGTTATTGGAGATCTCTGAGTTCGACACCAAATATGAGAGCAGAAAAGCCCTTAAGGCACAAGTATTGGCCAACTTCGTGGTAGAAATGACTTCCCTAGCTCCCACAAGTGTTGCACGCAAGTGAACCATATTCGTGGATGGAG